ACTCCACAGCCACCTGTCTACCAGAGTGCTGAATTTTGGTCTCTAGTTAAGGTCAGGGTGAAGAGAATCAAAATCAAAAGTATGTGATTTTTTTCAAGGATTCAACTGTTTGGGGGGCTTTTCATTGCATTTTAACCAAAATGGAAATTGGAGTGAATGGCTGAAGCCAAGTGAAACATCCTCTGTTGCTGCACACCTGGACTTTGATTTCAACACCCTGGGTGTGTCCCTCCTCCCCTAGGGGTCCTTCACCTCCACAATAGATATAGAACAGCAGGCAGGAATGTCACCACAGTGACCAAAGACTAGAGCATTTCAACATCCTACCTCAGTGGTACTTTTTTAGTAGGGTAAAGATTGATGTTTTAAATTTTTACTTGCTCATCTCTTGCTCACTCGCTCTCTCTCTCTCTTCTTGTTATTATTATCTAGTGTTATCAGCACTTTTCATTAAGACTAAAATCATACATGTGTATGTTGTCTCCAACTTTATATTCCAAATTCACTCCTATTATTTCCAAGCTTATTCTACCAATTTTTTCACTAGAGTAAATCTAGACAACGGGAACCTGGAATTTATATATTTGGGATGTTTTATTTAAGTAAACATGACAAAATATTAATTCAAAAGTGATTACTGGGGCTGTGGGTGTTGGTTCATTGTTAGAGGGCTAGAGTGTTAGGCTCTGGGTTCAATTCTTAGCGCACACACACACAAAAAGTGATTATCTATTGAAAATTAACAGAGTCAGAACCATGAACAATTAAAAGCTAACAAATGCACCAGATGTGGTGGTACACATCTGTAATCCCAGTGGCTTGGGAGACTAACACAGAAAGATCACAAGTTTGAAGTCAGCCTCAGCAATTAAGCAAGTCCCTAAGCAACTTAGTGAGACCCTATCTCAAAAAATAAAAAGGGTTGGGAATGTGGCTCAGTGATTAAGTGCTCCTGAGCTCAATCTCCAGTACAGAAAAAAAAAATGCTGACAAATGCTACAAATATCATCTCTACTTATTGTTTTTGATCTTTAATTAAGGCACTTCCTCTCGTATTTAAGTTTCAGTATGAGCAATCATTCAGAAAACAATGTAGTAATTTAAATCATTTCACTATGTTAAACTATAGGAAAAAATCATATGTAATCAAATTATATAAGATTATATATTACATTACATTACATCTTTTGCTATACATGCTGCCTTCTGAATGCATATAACTAGGCACTGGGTTATTAGAATTGCTGTCAACTTAGTTTCATTGGATATTTTTCTTTGCCTAGAAAGTTTTATGTTGCTAGAAAAGTCATCAAGAGTATCCACACCATTTTCATATTTGAATAGAATGGAATCTTTGACAATAACATGACAGAAACTAAGTACCAACAGCTAGATGTCCATTTGTATAGCATCATCAAAATAAATTGCTAAAATAACAGTTATTCACAACTATTGCTTGAATACAGTACAAGAATAAATTTCAAAGTGAATTTTTCAAAACCCCTCATTTTCTTCAATATGTTATGCAATGCTATAGATAGTGTTTTTATTGGAATGCTTGTGGTTTCATGGCTCATTTCTAGCACTTCCTAACTTCCCAGTTAAAATTTACTATTGTTTGTGAAATTAGTTGGTCAATTTTCATCAATTGTCTTTACTTGTTTTTTTTTTATTTTTAAATGAGCAATGCTATTTTTTCTTCAATACTTAGAGGACATATAATCATTCAGTCAATAGCAATGTGGGGCCTATTGCTATTGAATACTTAAAGATGAACAAAACAAGTTTCTTCCTTCAGCCAGTCTATCTTGATAGGAAAAAAATATTGTAAAATATAGCAAGAAGCAATGGATGTTAAAATGTTGATTCAAATAAGGTATGGTCTCTATCCAAGTAATAGTTTTAGTTGTAAGCATTATAGCTGGCTTCACAGAAGAGACATTTCTATTGTATCTAAAAATTGGAGTTCTACAAAACGATTTTGGAGAAAATATATTTTAGAACAGGAGATACACCATGGTAGGAGCTAAAGGCTGGGAAACAGCCTGGGTCCAATGCAGCCAGTGGAACAGGCTTACTGAGGATGAAGTAGAAAAATCATTGGGGACCCCAGTCTTGGTCTTTGTTGCACACACAGGAAGAGACTTTCAAGACTACTAGGTACTCAGCTGTGTTGGAGTTCCTTCTTTCTGATAGGAGGAAGAAACAGAGAATAAGGTTATGGCATTGGTGACACAGATTGCTTAAAGAGCTATTGATAAAACTTGAAAGATATGTTTAACCCTTCCACCTTAGACATGAGTGGAAGCTTTGCTTCACATGGTCATTCAGAGATTCAGATTCCTGCCTCCCCCTTGTTTCCTACATACTAAAGCACTGCATTCATCTGCAAGATCAAAGATTCACTTCTACCACATCTGGTATCCTGAGTAAACAGGAACAGAAAAGAGATACTGCTTGAATAATGGCTCAGAGTTCTCTAGATAAGACCTACAGAGTAACATAAAAGTAATTCTGATGAAATCTCATGTATAAATATAATCACCAGGACAACTCAGTTGCAAGAGCAGCTAGAAAAATCCAATTTCTGCCTGGGCTCATCTTATAAAATAGAACCATACAATATTTAAAGCTGAATATTCCGTCATAACTGTCAAGTATGCACAACAGTATCAGAAACAGATATTTTTAAAATCCTGAAAGGAATTGAAACTGCTGACCTAATAAAGTGGCCTTAACTTCCTCAGACACAAAGATTGGTGATATAAAGTGAGATATGGGCACCCAACAAATGGATCAAAGTCTCTCTCTCTCTCTCTCTCTCTCTCTCTCTCTGTCTCTCTCTCCCCCTCACTCCTGCTCTTATTTTACTTTTATATTTTGTTCACAAGCTTAAAAAGATTTAATTCTAGAGAAGAAAAATATAAGACTAGTTAATTCTTTTGCCTTTACATTTTTTATTATTGTTATTTTGCTAGTATTTATTATATTTTAACATCTATTATTAATTTATCATTTATTATTTTAATTACTATCTTGTTGGATTTAAAACATTTTTAAATGGGAAAAAAATTATCTATTTATTTCAGTCCCTGCCAGTGTAGATCCATATTCAAGGGAGAATGGGGATAATCTCAAGAGAGAGGCCTTTGGGGTAAAGGAAGGAATGCACATTCAAGGGAGAGTGAAGGCTCTCTCCAGAGGGGAGTGCTAATATTTTTAGTGGGTGTGGGGTGCTAATATTTTTAGAGGCCCAGTTCTAGAGACTGGATTAGAGCTGAAACCAGAGTGACCTACATACATTTGTGCCAGTTTTCTCTGCCCTCATGGCACAAGGGCATGGCTCAAGGGCATGAGCCAAGGGCATGTGTTCAGGAGTTATGATTTTTCCTGGGCACTTTTCTCATCTCAGTAGTTCATTTGAGACTCAGTATCTCACCCTTTATTCCCAATGTCTCAGAATGGTGAAAGAAGCCTAAGTTCTTAAGCTCATGTGGGGATAATGTGTTTTTATTTAGATTTCTTCTCCAAGAGAAAGAGAACTGAATTCATTCAACCTTTCCCCTTCTTCATTTTTAACTCATTTTTCTGACTATGAGAGGGCTGCTTATCTTTATACACAATAAATTTACCTATTTGCTCCAATCTAGCACACACGGAAAGTAATTTTAAAGTTGATGATTCAGAACTCTACAAAAAAAAAATACATTTACTAACTAGAGTACATTTTTTAGCAGACAGTTCTTTTTTTGTCTTTAGACTTATGCACATGGTCAGAACACTATATTCCAAAGTTGCTTAGACAATTTCTTCCACTTTTCACTTTCTGAGGTGTGCTCAATTCATTTGTAGCACACTCAGATTCACTCATTACTGTTTCTGTTTCATTTGGGCCTTCTTCATATGTTGGTGTATTCATTAATTTTCAGTATGTGTTTATTTTTGGACTATGTGAAACACCACGGTTCTATAAGTCAGAGCTTTAAGCATAGTGAGACACTGTCTCAAAATAAAAGTCAAAAAGGACTGGGGATGTAGCTCACTGGTGAAACTTCCCAGATTCAATCCCCAGTACCAAAAAAGGAGAGGGGAAATCAGAGTTTTCAAAAAGATTTAGTTGGAAAAAATGTCACTTCATCTTACCACTGAGAATGTATTAAAAATTACATACATCTAGAAAGTATTTATAAATTTTAATACATCTAGAATATATTAGAAATTAAATTTTTTCCATTATTAATGAATTAACTTACTGATTTTTTTGTCAGCATCACAATCCCTGTTACTCAAAGAGTTCGCAATGAAATGAGTAAATTCTTTGAGATACAAACAAATATTTAGCATAAGCACCCAAGTTTTCATTCTTTAACTTGAAAATGTTGGTTACTTCTGACTTGTTCCATTTTAATCAATATGATGCCAGTTCTGCCTCAGTCTAGCTTCCCAAGTCTTACCCCCAGCCCCACCACAAAAAAGCCATTAATTTTTCTCTGATCAGAACCCATTTCCTCTTACAATTCCCCACCGAGATTACCACCAAGCTGATAGTCTATTCAATTATACAGCATAAGGCATTACACCACAAAATGAGAACCAGTCAGTGACTGGCCCAGAAAAAATGTCTGCACAAGATTTTAAAAGTTCCCAAATTTGGGACAATGGCCTTTTTAGGCAAATTCCAAGTTGTTAAATTTTATCTACCTAGAGCTATGAAAATAATCAATAAAGCAAGATTTCATTTGAATTTTATTAGGTAATTTAAGTGTCAAGAAAGAAATGACAATCATAAAACCTTCCCAGTTCCCTCTGTGGGCTCCACTTTTGCTGGAGCCAGATTCAACACAGGAAGAGCAGTGGGCACTTAATGGACAGCTGCCTCCTGATATCCCCAGGATTATAAGTGAGCTCCTATCCCACATCTGGCTCAGGAGCAGCCTCTCTTGGGAGATGCTCATTTCAGAAAGAATGAATTCACCTCGTAAACTGTGTCCCAGTCTCACCTGGAGCAAGGATCCTTTAGAGAAGGATCCTTTGGGAAGAAGGCTGCTTTCAGGAGATGATGAGTGCTGATGAGCTCCTTCCCTTCTGTTTCACCTGTCACTTTGCTTTATAACCTTACTGCGCTGACTTCCTGGGACTTTATAGACTTCTTTCAGTGACCCAATGAGGAAACGTTTAAATAAGAAAGAAAACTATGCAAAAAAACTAGGAATAGGAAACTGAAAGTACTGAATTCCAATTCTTCCAGTGGCCCAATGAGGAAATGTTTAAATAAAGCAAACTATGCAAAAATCTAGGAAGAGGAAACTGAAAGTACTGAATTCGAAGCATTTGCTCAACAATCATAAAAGCAATCACTGAGAGGAAGATTTGACACAATTTCTCAACTAGAATCTTCCAATTGGAAGAGACTGCTTGCAACAATAATATTCATAAATAAACTTGTATACACACAGAATGTCTCGGATCCCATAGGAAAGTGTACTCTGGAAAGATAAATTATATTCATTCCCTCCGTATAGAAAGAATCTAGACTCATTTGGTACAGTTGTGGGAGACAATAAAGATGTTTTTGGTTTTTGTCTTCCTGGTGAGCAAATAAGATAAGCCTAAATTCTTATTTTGTCCATGTGAAAATATACTTTAAATTATTTCAAGGGACCTTAGTCCTTACTTTCTGGTGGCTAGAACAAAATACCATAGAGTGTCTGGGTTTGTTTGTGCAATAGGTAATTCTTTCTCATAGTTCTAGAGTCCGGGAAGTTCAAGATCAACTCATTGGCAGATGCAGTGTCTGATGGGGCCCACCTTCAGGTCCACAGATGGTGGCTCCTAGCTACATCCTCATATGGTGGAAGGAAAGAACTCTGTTGTCTTGGGTATAGAGTTAGTGCCTTCAGGAGGACACTAAATCTCATTCTTGATTACTCCACACTCATGGTCTGAACACTTCCCATGGCCTCCCTTCCTAGTACCATCACACTGGGGATCAGGTTTCAACATGTGCATTTGGGGCAACATAAACAGTCAGTCCATTGCACAGAATAAGTGCTGTGCTATAGCTGTTAAAAACCGATTTAAACTACAGCAATGAGGTGGTCAATGAGCAGATGAATTGGCCTGATCCGAAGTGATCACCTTAATAACAGATGATTTAGCCCAGGAATCATTGCTCTCTGTAAAAAACAAGAAAGGCTTGAAGAATTTGCAAAGGATATGATAGAAGCAATGACACCAATCAGCTTGAAATGACATGGTTGTTTATGAGAAGCAGGTGCCTGTTCACTTTCATGACCATGACCTACAAGCCTGTGTAGTTGTGCCATGTTCCAGGGTTTAGAGCTGCTGCCCACTTCCTCTCTCCAGAAAGGAGGCAGCTCTTGATCTCACTTTGAGGCAGAGAACCTGCCTTAGAACCTTCCTAAGTCCCCCTTGAGTGAGGCTTTGCTTCACAGAGGGCTCTCACTGGGATTAGGCAGCTTGGTTATATGTTCTTAGTTCCTCCCTCTGAAGGATGTATACTTTTGTGACAGAATGTAATCTGAGACTGAGGAGTCCAGAAGGAGACCGTGCAACTGTCTCCTCAACTAACCTGTTTCCTTACATTATTTCCAGTTCTCTGGGACAGAGGTCGGCTACATTTCTTTATATTTTTAATGGTTTCCCAACCCTAACTTCTACTCCACAACAGGAGAGTTTCCCAAAGGACTGGTTTATTCTGGATTGTTCAAACTCAGCCCAACACATGAGAAGGTGGCACTAGCAAGTTTAGCTGTGGATACGGTCTGAGAACATGCACAAGGGGTTTTAGAAATGGCTAAATACCATGTAGAGGATTGGGTGTGCATTTTTCTTCCTACAAAATTGTTGAGAAGGTATTTGAAATAGATCTGTTGTACCTTCAAAAATTCAACAACTATTTATTAATCTTCAAATGCAGGGGAGATCATTTTGCTTGGAAAACTATTTGAGATAGATAGATACATACAAACACATGTAAGTATTCATACACAAACACACACACACACACACACACACACACACACACACACACCAAACAGATGATAACTTATGCCCTAACTTAACTGAGGGGAGAAAAATTACTTTGCTTTTATTGTTATTTACCTCACTCCTGAGTCCTTCATTATTGTATCATGAAATAGCTACAATTTCATACCACCTTTCCTTATTGATGGTTTCCTATTCCACTGATGGTCACGTATGTTGGAGAGAGGTGATAGGGCACTCTTGGTGCTCTTTGCCCTTGACCAGAGCATCCAGATGTGCAGTATTCAGGGCATTCTTCTGATTGACAGAAGCAGGTCCTTGGCGACTGGCTATCCACAGGCTTTCTGTTGCCAGTGGAAAGAGAGA